AAGACCGGCTACGCACTTGTGACTCCTCGATGACGTGGACTTCCATGAGCGATTCCCATTACAAGCTATCAAGTGATTTCTCTGCTCGTATGCCGAGCTATACTATATATACAAAAAGTTACCGTAAGTCCTAAAGCCAAAAATAAAAGAAAAGCATTTCACATTTGACAAAAAAGTAAAAAGGAGATAATGGAGAAATATTGGGCTCGTTATATGTTTCTACGAATCGTGTGCCATTTCATTCCGATTGAAATATTTTATTAATTTGTATAAAAATATTAGTAACATTTTTCATGTAACTATTATTATTTCAAGCTTAGGTATAAGTTGACGTATGCACTGATCAGTTATAATATCTTATTTTGTTTTATTCACTACCAAAAAGCCAACTTTTGAATGGTTACTGTTTCGACGCCGAACTCGTTGACCTGAAAAAGGGGTCAATCGCTCCTTAAATTTTAGTGCACAGCCTTTTCCGACAAATTTGATCGTTATCGCAACGTGTTAAAGGCTTCCTTTTTGTGGTTTGCGAAGATCCTACATTACGAGGCTATACGCCTCTGAAAGTACACAATAAACATTATTCAGCACGTTATCTTGTATGTAATATTTACCAAGCCTGAGCTTCAATGTACATAGAAATTATAATCTTCGCATCGCCTCGCTATCCATCAATTTATCTTTCGAACCGTGGAACGCGGATTTTGTAATAGCATTTCTGCTCTCTAGTAATTTTGACGTAGTGTGTTGTTGCAACAGCTTTCCTATATTGCCTATAATTTCTAGCAAATATGATTAAGTATTAAATGATATTAAGAAAAAGCCTTTCATTTAATTCTTTAATTAGGAAATGTACTTATTTATGTATATTTGTTGTAACTTGTAGTGAAAAAAGTAACCGAAAAATTAAGCAACAGAATAGGTAGTTTTATAAAAAATAATAATCAAGAAAAATAGAGTTTTAGAAGTTCACCATTAAATACCAAATAAAAAGTGTTCTTTAGAAAAAGTTTAAGGAGTATTTGTATCGATAAAAAAAATCAATAAATTAATTAATTCTAAGTCAAACGTAATTACATCTTTTAATTTTGTTAATCATTTTTTTTGGTATCTTGGACTTTAGATACATATATATTTTATTGTAAATAGAAAACTATGCCTTTCAAGTATTGGAGAGCCTTATACCGTGCTTACATTTTGCAGTAATGGGACGACTTGACAGGACTGATACCACGGTCCCTAAACTGGCGTGATACAAATAGAACGTTATGTTTTGACGTGCGAGGGATACTACCGGAGGTCCAATGCTCAAGTATCACCGATTCCCTTATATTTCAATTCTCAAGTCTAACTATTCAGAAAAGGCTGGCAACACACCTTGTAACTCCTCTGGGTGTGTGTAGCTATGTGGGTGTCCATGGTCAGCGTCGACGGCTTACCATCAGGTTATCTGTCAGGTAGTTTACCGTCCTATCCCATAACAATTTCATGTTTTTAAGGAACATAGGATCTTTAAAAAGTCTGCAATTTAGCTATGAAGGTAAAATTCCTCAACATGTAAATCGACTTCTCAATGACATTGATGTTTGATGTTTGAAGATGACACTTATTGGCTCCTGTTTTACAAGTTTAAAAAACAAGGAAAAAGTAAAAATTGAGTTTTGTTTAATATAATCAAGAATTAGTAGCAACCGGTTTATTATGTTGTAATTATTAAATACCTTTTGCCGTATCTTTATTCCCTGTTCGACGTTTTTTTATACATATTTAGAACCTTGTTTAACAAAATTATTAAATATTCATGAAACTATAGAATTAGGTCGCTACTAGATCTAAAAGGATATATTTCTTGGTTTGGCCTTAAGGCAAAATGATGTTGTTAGTCCTGTGTATTAGAAACGAGTCTATTGTTTATTTAAATACGAGCTTTTGCCCGCGACATTGTTCGCGTGGAATATTGACTGCCTTTAAAAACTATCCTATGTCCTATCTCGAGTTCTAAACTATGTCTGTACCAAATTTCACACAAAATGGTTCAGTTGTTTAGGCGTGATGAAAAGACAGACAGAGTTACATTCGCATTTATAATATTAGTTTGGATTTAGATATAATATATAGAACACAAATCCAGAAGGTGCCGCCGTTTGCAAGCGTGATGTACCGTGGTTTTTAGCCAGTCTGACACTTTCTTGCATCCCACCCAGGGCAGAAGTAGCCGTGGGATGATTATCAACCTTCGGAACGTGAATAGAATAGAATAGAATAAGACTTTATTTGCTAAGAATGCAGGTACATACAAATAGGATCGAAAATAACATAATAAAGAACCGTGTACATTCTACCTTGTTGGCATGCAAATACAATAATAATTATAAGTATTATACAACTAAGTTAAATAAGGCAAAAAGGTGATTATAATGTATCATTTAAGAAATCCTGAACAAAATAATAGCATTTGTCTACAAGTAACAATGTAAAACATTTTTTAAATTTCATCAATGGCAAGGTTTTCATGTGATCAGGAATTTTATTAAAGATAACAGGAGCCATACATATCACACTTTTTTTAGTAAGCTAGTTTTAAATGTGCCTGTGCACAGTAAGTTCTGATATTGTGATCTTAATGATGTACTTCGTTTTCTAGTTTCTGTTAATGTTGCAAATAAATTACGGTTAGTTTTAACAAATATTGCTAATTCGAGGATATAAAGGCATGGCAAAAGTTAGTAATTTCTGCGACTTAAATATAGGGACACAACTGTCAGTAACTTTGAGGCCAAATATAGCTCTCAAACAGCGCTTTTGAGCTTTAAAAATACTTTCTCGTTCACTGCAGTAACCCCAAAATATTACACCAAACCTTAAAATAGAAATCACAAGACCGTGGTAGGCCACCAATATTGTTGACAGATTTACTTTTTTGGATAGATTGTATAACATAAACGCGGCTGTACTTAAACGTTTACAGATATCTTCTGCTTGCGGCTTCCATGTTAACTGGCTATCAATTAGGATACCTAAAAATTTTGTGCTATTCACTTTATCGATAGTTTGGCCATTGTAGTTGATATCCATGTCACCTGTGGTCATTCGTTGGTAGAAATGCATAGTTTTAGTTTTTTGAAGATTTATAACTAAGTTATTATTGTGAAGCCATGTTATTAATCTGCTGATTGAGTTATTGAGGTCATTTATGTAGGAGTCTTTATTGATACATGAAACAATTGAAGTGTCAATACGCCTTCTGCTAAATTGTAATTCCCTTATGTATTAAACACTAGCGACCCGCCCCGACTGCTGAGCAAAGGCCCTTCTCATACGGACAAGGACAATAAGTGTTAGAGCATTAATCGCCACGCTTGCTCAATGCGGGTTGGCGATTTCAAACTTATAATGAGAAATTGTCCAGGTTTCCTCACGATGTTTACCTTCACCGTATGCCAACAATTATTAGTCTCAACTATTCAATACTTATAAACGTTCTTCTTCAATCACTATAAAAAAACCACATCAAAATCCTTTGCGCAGTTTTAAAGATTTAATTAAGCAAACATTGGGATATAGCGACAAAGAAAGCAACTTTTTTAACCGACTTCAAAAAAAGGAGGAGGTTCTCAATTCGATTGTATTTTTTTTTTTTTTTTTTTTTTTTATTTTTTTTTTTTATGTTTGTTACCTCAGAACTCCGTCGTTTATGGACGGATTTGCAAATTTTTTTTTATGATTGAAAGGATATGCTTCCAGATTGGTCCCATTCTTTTCAAAATCGAGTTTTGATGATGGGATCCATGAGAAATCGAGGGAACTCCTCAAATATTATAGGTAACTATATAGTAATTTTAATATTTTCATAGAGCACTCAAGCATTTACAGTCAAAAAGTAATATTTGATGAGGTGGAACTGGTGAAGAAAATCAGAAATGGGTGATGAAACTTGACACTCGCATAGATATCACAATCAATGTAGTTAAGCAACTATGAAAATGCGCTATAAACCAATGATCTTAAATAATTATGTTGGAAATGACGAACTGATCTAATGATGATGATGGAGCTGGAAGGTAGGCATTGGAACTGCGTACCTAATTAATATATCCTAGCCGTGTTTGGGCTTGTTAGAATTGTTATAAGATGCACTTTGGCTGTAAGGTACTATTGAACTGATGTGATGACGAAGCTGGAAGGTGGAAGGTTGGCATAGTAACTTCAAATTAAAATAATGCATCCTAGCATTGTTTAAGCTTATTAGAGCTGTCAAGGGCAATGGAAAAGGCTATGCTCGGAGTTTCCTTGCGTGTTCGAATCAGAAATGAAGAAATCCGCAGAAGAACCAGAGTCACCGACATAGCCCGAAGAATTGCCAAACTTAAGTGGCAGTGGGCAAGGCACATTGCTCGTAGAACAGATGGCCGATGGGGCCGAAAGGTTCTAGAGCGGCGACCGCACACCGAAAGACGCAGCTTTAGAAGGCCATTCCCACAAGGTGGACCGTCGACCTGGTGAGAATCACAGGAACGCGTTGGATGCGAGACATACAGAATCGGTCGTTGTGGCGACGCTTGGGGGAGGCATATGTCCTACAGTGGACGTCTTCTGGGTGAAATGACTATAAAGTGCCATTGAAAATCTAGTTTTGATATAAGCATCAATGTTTTCACAAAACAAACTACAAAATATTAAAAGCGTTTATGCTTTAATTCTAAAAATAACGTAAGTTCTATTATTCACTAAAATTTTACTCTTAGTAGTATGCACACGTTTCCACGCCACCTATGAGGTAGTGTGCTAGGCGCGTTTTTTTTAATGTGGTTTCCCCGGTAGGCCTATTCCACAATCAATTTTATTGAAGTTTAATGATATTTTAAGTCATCATATAAGTCAACTTCGTCTCATCTTCCTCCATCTTCATCTTCCTGAACCGACTTACATATATTGGTCGAATTAGCTATTACCAATTAACTGTGATACGGCTAGAGAGTTATATAATATTTAATGGCAAGTTATGTGTTGCCTTGATTGTCAGATGGCAGATTCCGCAATCTTGTTATCTCAGTCATCGCTCGATCATCATGTGGTCGATTCAATAATTTGTTGGCGTCCAAATCTGATAAAACTATGCCTTCCAAACTTCTGACACGACTTAGCGCAACATACATTTGTCCTTTAGCAAAGTTTTTTTTGCCAAGGTCGATCACAGCTCTGTCTAGGGTGGTCCCTTGTAGTTTATGGACTGTTACCGCCCAGCTCAATATTAGAGGTAGCATACGACGCTCTACATCTCCGTAACCCCTTTTTGCCTGAAATGTAGTACTTGATGGAGGTATAGGTATGCAACCGTCTCTATCTTTTAGCCTAACAGCAATTGTATCGTCATCAAATTTGATGTACACGGCTTCCGGTAGCTCCCCCTCCTCCAGTTGGTCTCTTCTTAAGGCTGGCCATTTGATTTTTTTTATTATACCCATAGCTCCATTCACTAGCCCTTCTGAGACTGCTATATTGCGTCTCAACATCACTCGGGATCCGACGCCAATTTTTATTGAACATAGAAAACCACCACAGTTATTGACGTCTTTGGGAATTACGTTGTCTGGTGGTTTCCTGCCATACGTCGCCACTTCACGAGACTCATCTACTGCGTTGATTTGATAAGTCCGGTGCAACTTTGCATTTTCTGTACTCATTTTATCATTATAATCGTCCACTTGCCTAACCGTAGGAAAAATACGAACAGCAACTCCATTCGCAAATTCACCATTTAAAGGCACGTGCCGCCGCTCACATAATAACTCCAACTGAGCCGTCGTCAGTTCGCCTACCCTTAAACTATTCAATAATTCGATAAATTCTGTATCATCACGCTGTCGCATATTTATGGTTAGTTCACAAAAAGAAAACTGATGCCATAAATTTATCTCCGCAGAGAACCATGACGGCTGTAGAAAACACCAATGCCCTTTAACTGGAGGAAGTTGAAATATATCACCAAATAGCAGAATATTGACTCCACCGAATAATTTTTCATTGTTTTTGTATTCCTGAAGCCTTAGATGAATTATTCTTAGATTCTCATAAGAAACCATAGAAATTTCATCTATAATTAGCCAATTGATGTAACGCCATTTACGCCGTTCATTTTCAAGTCTTTGCCCGGTAATTTTTTTGTATGACATAGTATTTCCTTTCTCAATTGGAAGCAAAAAAATACTGTGTAGCGTTTTCCCAAATATCTGTCGGGCGGCAACACCAGTTAATGACCCAACCTCCACAAAGTTGGGTTTCAACAGTGTATCTACTGTTGGTGCATAACAACGCTTAATATGCTCCACGATTAATTTTAAAAGAAATGATTTACCACTACCTGCACCACCCGTGATAAAAAGTAGCAGTTGACTCTCTTGACCATGTAAATCATTTTCGATTGCCAATGAAACTTTCTGAAACAAATTCCTCTGTTGGATATTTAATCCTCGGATGCTGCTCAGGAACAGTTCATCTGACATGAGAGCTCGTTCTCCCATGTCTTCACAGAAGGTTTCATCGCGATTTACAATCTGCTCACCAGCACATAAGACTGGAGCATTGTTTACATGGGTTTCACGTGCAGCATTAAGCGCTGTAACTTGGGCGAGTGCCTGTTGAATAATTTGCTCGGCATGAGCAAATTGCTCTGCGCTTATGTTACCTAGCAAAGGGCGAAGGTCTCTTTGGCGTCTTACAAAACAGTCTTCAGCGGATTCATTTTCGAGTAGTAACTCGTTCTCGTTGCGAAATGGTATATGACATACTATTAAGCTATAATAATATGCTTCTTTATCACTATTAATTGTATAATAGCGAGTACGTAATACTGCCGGCCTATTTCTTACACGCATCCTCGTATTGTCCAGCAACTTGATATATCTTACTGTCGTAATATTATCTTCCTCTCTCAGCTCCGCATCACCATCATCCTCAGACCATATTGTGCTTGAAACCGTTTCATAACGGACGGCAAACTCAGCAAGGCTTAAATCCTCCAGCTGGTTTGGACGTAACATATAACGGTCAAAAATGTTGTTATAAATACTGGTTTCATCACTGTCAAACCTTAAAAGTCTAAAACGTTCCTCTGGTTTGCAATTATTTACAAATACAGTCTTTCGCGATGACATTTTTAATGGCAAATGACATAATCTGTATGCACATTCTACCGCGCTTACCAAGCGTTGATTTAAAATAGCCATTGAAACTGAAAATAACTGTTTCCAAACATCACCACCTTGCCTTTTAGCTTTAGAAATAGCTTCTCTTATTACGTCACCTGTATCATGCGGTTCACACTTACTCGCATATTTCGCGACGTAGTAAGCCACAGCGGTGACACTACCACAGGGTTGCACATCTATGTTTCCTTTCCATATACCTAAAAGGACTGCATTGTAATTATTGACCATGCTTTCTTCTGGGGTTCTTTTCAATAGACAGAATCGTCCGTTATTAGCAAGTGCTTCATCTGGGCCCAAACAGACGGTATTGTCACTTTCTGGTTTTGGGAAACCAAAACGACAGCCATCATCCTGACGATTTTTTTTACACGTCGCCGTGTGTTTATGTATCTGCAAATCCTCGACTAACTTGCGCAACACAGGATCGTCAGGATTCAATGAACATGAAACCACATTTTCAACTACGGCTATTCCTTGTGGAGTAGAGAATTCCGGAACATTAGTACACCACACTAACATATGCAAATGTGGGCTGCCGCGGTTTTGGAATTCGACTCGGTACCAAAAGTCTTCAATAGGCCCACCCAAGCAAACTTGATTACGCTTTAAAAATTGCATAAGAGCGTTAACTCGCAATGTGAACTGTCGCGCAACTACTACCGGATGTCTTTGTACTAGTAATAAGCGCTCCGAAAATGTAAGATGCTCAGGGTCCGCGATATCACGTCCATCAGCGATTAGTAGCGCTTTAATCATGTCTGTCCAGTTCAAATCATTACAAGAAAATGTTAAGAACCATGTGGGAGGCCCTAAACTTCTAACCATTGCTATTAATTCAGAGCAACATTTCTGCCAATATGATGCTGATCCTCTAATATTTCGCATAGTAAGATGCATATTATCTACAAGACCCTGAGGCGTGTGCTCTCCGTGGCCTTGACGCATCCGACATGAAACTGAAACACTTGATTTAGCGCGAAAATATTCAACAATGGATAGGGCATAAAATAAATACTCGTTTCTGTTAAATCTTCTTTCATTACTCATTATGCGGTTTTGAAAGTAATCCAAAGGGGTAACTGGATTTTCTCTTTCCTCACCAAAACCATTCTTGCCATCAGGATAAATAAAATACCAGCATAATTCTTCCATACGGCGTTCACGCTCTAAATTTAATGGCGGTGCCGTTTTCCTCGTAATAGCGGCCAATCTCATTGTATCATCTGTTAAAGAAGTATTCACTCCAACAACATTTTCTAAATTAGGCACGTTATCGTCTATGTTTTGGAGCATACTTGTCGATTCAATATAAATTGTGTTCAATGAATTATTAGCAGTTATTGGTAACTGTATTTCTGATCCTTGGGCTAATGCTGATTGGAGCGTTTTCTGGACAGATTCTATAACTTGTATTGGTGGTTGCAAGAGATTGATCGGACTTGGTGTAAATGTTGGGCTCTCCATCATTTCTATTGCCGATTGTTCAGATATGGGTCTAAACGATCGCATTTGGTTATCTACAGCTACAACTAGTGGTGTCAACGAGTATACATTAAGATTGTCCCGTAGGTTTCCTCCTGATGGTTTATTGGGCGATACATACAAATTACGTCGTAAGACAGTATGTAAATCGTCCAGGTCCGTAAAACGCATGCAACAAGCGGCTCCATTTATAGGAGCTGAAGAACCCTTGGCACCTCGTGCATGGGAATCAAATAAGTAATAATAGGATGTTCTGTAATGAACTGCTACTGAGATAGCGTTTGTTGTTAGTATTCCACTAGAATATTCTGTGAAAAAACTTCTTAAAGCATTCCTCAAGTTAGGAAAACCATCAGAACTGTTGTCGTTATCTAAGTGACCGTTAATATTGGTTTCTTCAAGTACTGTAATCGCTATATTTTGCCTGTTATAGACCAGACTTGGCATAAGATCGGTTACAGCAAGGTAGTCAGGGTTCATTTCGCCAAAAGCAGGATTATTTCTAGAAGCAATGCAGTCATTATAGTACTTATCGCCAATGATCAATATGTAATCGATATCACTTTTAGACCAATTATTTGGATCTAATACAGTGAATGCTACACATGCAACAGCTGCTATCCCGGTGCATTGTTTACCCCGGGAAGAATTAAACCGCAAGTCACCTTGGTGAAATGATCCGCGTAATATCGCCTTGTTGTCATTTATAATGACGTACTGGTTCGAAGAGGTTTCCTCAGTACCATCTTCTTGAATATAATTTTCCGCTATTTGAACTAACGGAGTAATGTTTGCCGAAGATTCAAAATATGCTCGGACATCTCTATAGAGATGGTTGTTGGAAATTAACCAAGTTAAAGCTTTATCTATCCGTTGCGTATCCACAACGAATTCTTTAGAACTAGAAAGGTCCTCTAGACTTTCCACAACCAAAATTAAACCAGCTTGATGTGGTGTCAGTGGTAACTGATCGGCTATTTCAACAACATCTTTTGCAAATAAAATAACCTGCCCTTTGCACCAGTTTTGGCTGAAACGGTTGTTAAGTTTCATAATCTTTAAGAACGGTACAATCCGACATAAAAACCTTTCTTCAAAGCTCGTCAAATTGGCTAATTCAGGTGGTATTTCTGCGGGCATCATTTTATTCCAGTATGCAGTTGGTGGAATTTTTCTTTTCTTAATATGATTATTACAGCGAGAGCACGTCGTTATTTTATCCAAAGCAATCAATTCTTCAGGTAACAGTGTATTATACATATTTGGTCGTAAATTAAACCGCTGTTGTGGATAAATATTCTTTTTACAAACATCGCATGAAACATCGGCGAAAACATTGATAGCCGTTTGAAAAGACTGTTCATTAGTAATATCCCTACGAATATGACTGGTTTGTCGCATTGTATTAAGTCGATTCAAACGAGCTTCTGGTGTTTCGTTCGATAAACGGTCATGAATCAAGCCTAGGCGGTGGGCACGTTGTTCCTCCGTCTCATTAGATAAGCGATCGCTAATCAATCTGAGACGATGGGCACGTTGTTCCTCCGTCTCATTAGATAAGCGATCGCTAATCAATCTGAGACGATGGGCACGTTGTTCCTCCGTCTCATTAGATAAGCGATCGCTAATCAATCTGAGACGATGGGCACGTTGTTCCTCCGTCTCATTAGATAAGCGATCGCTAATCAATCTGAGACGATGGGCACGTTGTTCCTCCGTCTCATTAGATAAGCGATCGCTAATCAAACTGAGACGATGGGCACGTTGTTCCTCCGTCTCATTAGATAAGCGATCGCTAATCAATCTGAAACGATGGGCACGTTGTTCCTCCGTCTCGTTGGCCAGACGATCCTGCATCGAACCGAGACGACGAGTACGTTGCTCCTCTGTCTCATTATTAAGGCGATCATGGATCAAACCGAGGCGATGGGCGCGCTGTTTCTGCGTCTCATTAGATAAGCGATCACTGATCAAACTGAGACGATGGGTGCGTTGTTCCTCCGTCTCATTAGATAAGCGATCCTGAATCAAACCGAGACGGTAAGTGCGCCTTTTGGGATTTTCACTGTCTAAAACTTTTTTCATATAAGTCCGCATTTGTGAAAGTCTCTTTTCACGCTTTTCACTATTTTCATTTAAAATAGCCTTGGCTGTGGTTTTTCTACTTTGAGATAAGCGTTTCTCATGATCTTCGCTTGTCTCATTTAAACGGCGCTGCCTCATACGGCTAGCGCGCTTAGTAGGTCTACCCATATTTGCTTTCTATAAGTTGAATTATAGAGTGCAAAAAAACGAGAAATATCAATAAACTACAACTAATAATAAAGAGAAAGTAAAAACATATCAAAAAAAAGCTGAAATAAAAAATGTTGCAAATTCGAAATAAAACTTATTAACCCAATTTCGTTGATTATTTGGTCTAAATTTTAGCACAAAATTGGGTTCAAGATGATTTACAACAACTTGAAAATATTTCGTTGAATTACTAATTATAATAATTAATACTTCAACGATTCAAAAATCAAAAGTTTTATTACATACCAATGTAATGAAGCAGCTCTGCTTTATTACACTATAATATATCACTATCACACGTCACAGGTCTACACTGCAATCTACGCGACGAATATCGCAAACAATGATGCACCGGGGACGTCTTCAGAGATACTGATTAGCTGACTAGTTTACAAGTAATATCTGGAACCCCCACGCACCCTGTGTGTTTTTGGATAACCAATCAGTTAGGGTTTGGGGGCGGAGTTTGACCTAGTATTGGCTATTTTGCATTAGTCCACGTGGACTGCGTTTACACATTAGTGGCGAAATGAGTCATAGTGTTCTTATCGTTTTTTCTGGTAATAATAATACTAAGAGAATTCATTGGAATTTTTAACAAAACAGTAATTTTAAATGGGTTACAAAACAAAACAATAAATGCATCTCTTTTGTGTGCACGTATGTGTTTCATAATAATACCAAAAAAAGGTTCATACATTGAATGAGTCATAAATTTACAATAGCGGTGGTCTTTTGTATTTTACCGACTTGTCTATATATGAATGTTCTTAGTAATAAAAAAAGGTTTCTACGTTTTATGGGTTACAATGGATACAAAACACGTATGTGTTTAATAATAATACCTAAAAGGTTCATACATTGAATGAGTCATAAATTTACAATAGCGGTGGTCTTTTGTATTTTACCGACTTATATATATATGAATGTTCTTAGAAATAAAAAAGGTTTCTACATTTTATGGGTTACAATTGATACAAATCATGTATGTGTTTAATAATAATACCTAAAAAAGGTTCAATTGCAAGAACTAATTTGAATTTATGAAAGGATTA